AGAAGGGGGAGGGTTGTAGGAGGCCACTGGGACTGGCTGGAAAAGGAGTGAATGCCTGGAACAGCGTGTGCTAACGAGGCTGGGGAGGAGAGTGATGCAGTGCCAATGAAAACTAAAAGAGAGGAACGGGAAATGGGAGCGGCCAAATTACTGACCAAATGACCCACAATAACTAACAGAAGACAAAAATCTCTGGAAGATTAAACAGGAGCCAGAATTCTGTCAAAAAGAAAAAGTTGCTGAGACAAGAAACTAGTTAGGAAATTCCCAAGCCAGGAATTCTAGAGGCGAAGAGAAGAGGGCAGGTATGTATGACAAAGCCACAGATCCAGCAAATGGGGACAGGGCGCGCAGCTCAGCCCTGGAGTCAAACCCCAGCACCAAGTGAACCGGAAGGTTAAGGTCACCCGAGGCTGGTGAGATTCATGAGCCCGTGTCAAAGCAAATCAAAACGCCTGGCAAAGGGGAATGCAGCCTGCACCGCTTAGTTTTGATAACGGCCTTTTTTGCCTACAGCTGACGAGTTAAATGAAACTATACTAGCGCCCTAGTTAGCTTTGACTATCACCTTGACACAGCCTAGAGTCACCCGAGAGAACAATTGTCTACATCTCATTGGCCGGTATTGGGATATTCTCTGTTTTGTTTTTCTTATTCTATGTATGAGTGCCTGCACGTCTGTATGTGCACCACATGTCATGTGTGCCTGGTATCCATAGAGACCAGAAGAGGGTGTCAAATCTCCTGGAACTAGAGTTACAGGCAGTTGCAAGTGGCCTGATAGCTTTGCAAGGAACCAAACCCAGGTCCTAAACAAGAGTAGCAAGTGCTCATAACAGCTGAACCATCTCTCCAGCCCCTAGGGTATTGTCTTGACTGTTAATTGATGTTGGGGGGCCACCCCACTGTGAGTGGCACCATTTCTTGGGCAGGTGATCCTGGACTGCAGAAGAAAGCTAGCTCGGTATGAGCCAGCAAGTCAGAGAGTGAGCCGCTAAGCAAGTGGTCCTCCGTGGTCGCTGCCTCAAGTTCCTGCTCCTTGGGTCCCTGCCTTGGTTTCCCTGGATGATGGACTGTAACTGTAGCCGAAATAAGCCCTTTCCTCCCCTCAGCTGCTTTTGGTCAGAGTATTTTTTATCACAGCAAACAAGATGAAACCAGAACAGTCAGGTTCCTCAAAAGTAAAGCAGATGTCCTCAAAGCCACTTAGGCAGAATTTTATTTTGAGTCATGGTTCTTACCCTGAAGAATAATTTAAATAATATCTTAGTTCTTGCCCCAGATGAAATCTGAGTGATTTGTATAGACCACAGGTAATTAAGATTCTAAGTTTTTATGAGATTTTTGAATAATTCCTAGAGCATGGTGTGTCTGAAGACACATTGATGACGAGGCTTTTCTATCGAGCGTTTCCAAAAAGTCCTCCATCTGTGCAAGGGCATTTAAGTGTGGTCGATTTTCATTCATGCAAGAGAATTTAAGCATAAAATTTAGGAAGATGAAAGCATGCAGCCATGAAGAGGGTGAAGACAGGAAGCCTAGTGGGGGTCTGGATGTGTGTATGAGGGAATTGAGTACAAGTTTATCTCCAAAGAAAGCAATGGATTTATGCTGCTATTTCAGGCTTCCAAATACGCGCATGGATGATGAACACACCTACCTCGGGAACATCTCAGGTTTCTATCTTAGAGCTCTTCTGGGAAATAAATAATGAGGTCTTAATGATAAAATCCTGAGAGATTCTTGATGCTCCACTGAGCATAAAAACATCAACTTTCATAATTAAAAAAAATCTAGAATGTAAAAAATATAAAGTCACCATTGCACATACAATTGAATCATGGGATGTGAGAGCTGGGGAAGCTTAGAGATGCCCTCCTTCCCTCCCTCCTCAGAAGCTATGATAAATTGCTAAGGTTTCAAAGGCAGCAGCAATGCTGGTGCCAGGTGCCAGAACCTCTGTTCATCAGATTTCCTCAGCAGGACAATCTGGGCCTTTTGTTGTATGGGTCATCATCGACTTCTTAAGAGACTAGCATAATCCTACTGATGATAACATTTATCAACTGTGCCTGAGGCTTTTCTTAAAAATGCTGTTCTGCAGTCTCCCCGTGGGCCAGTATGGAGAAGCGTCTCTTACCTGTTTTGTAGTTCAAGATGCTGTATTTGGAGCTGAGTCTGACTGAACCTGATTTATAGGTGGTCATTTAGTGAAAATATGCAAAGTAGCTTATAGTTAAACAGAACCAACTGGCTCTGGTTTAGCTGTTTTTTTTTTTTCTTTCTACCTACTATGGAGCTATGACAGCACCTGACAATCTAAGCTGAAAGGTTTACTTATGAAACTGGACACTTGGGTCTGATTCTTTTGTTTAGAGGGTACTCCCATTTATCCGGATTTTATGGTTTTATATAAAATTATTTATGAAAAATACAATAGTCTCATAATATGCAAACACTGGTCAGTATTTTTTCAGACAGACCAGAACTAAGAGGGTCCATGTAACCTTTGCAGCATGAAGTCTTCTGGGTAATGCAATACAGTGATGTGACCCTGAGAGCTGGTGCTTTGATAGCGCCATGTTGGCAAAATAACTCCCTTTAAAACAAACTGGGAATTGGCATACTATAAGTGTTTAGTTTTATATATAGGGAGAAGTTCTTACTGCTTCCTTAAATCAACAGAAACTGGTGAGTCATGAAGAAAACATATTCTATAATATAGTTAAGCATCATTGTGTTTCAAAATGTTTTGAAGGGGCTGGAAGATGGCTCATTAGCTAAGATTACTTGCTTCACAAGCATAAGAACCTGAGTTCAAATCTCCCAGAATACACATTAAAAGGTCAAAGGTGGTTGTGTTTGTCCCTGTAACCTCAGTGCTGGGGGATGGTCAGGTGGAGACAAGAGGAGCAGTGGGCCTTGCTGTCCAGCCACCAGACTAGCTTCAGGTTCAGGGAAGGACCCTGCCTCAAAGGAATAGAGTGTAGAGTGATAAGGGCACCTGACACCCTCCATAACACACACACACACACACACATGCACACCATGCATGCATGCATGCATGCATGCACACACAAGCAAAAAATAAAAAGCTGGAATTTCTGAAAATGTTTATTAAAATAAATAAGAAAGATCTTTATTCTAACTAGAAATAACCAAATAGGTGTCATATTAGATTAAATTCAAGAAAGAAAATCTAACATCTTAAAAGATTTTTACATTTTTATTTATATGTTTCTGTGTATTTGCGTGTGGGTATCTGCACCTGAGTGCAGATGCCTATGGAGGCCAGAAGAGGGCGTCAGATCCCCTGGAGCTGGAGTTACAGGTGGTTGTGAACAGCTCAATGTGGGTGCTGGATACTGAACTTGGGTACTCTGCAAGGGCAGCAAGAGCTCTTAATCATTGA